GGGCCATGTATGAAGGGCGGCCTCTGTATGAGGTTGGAGTTGACTGCCCTACGTACCAGGAAGCTGGACACCAAGGGAGAAGGGGTGTGTGTGTGTGTGTGTGTGTGTGTGTGTGTGTGTGTGCGTGTGCATGCGCCTTCCCTGGACATTGTGGGGTAATGAGGGTTTTCAAGCAGAGCAGGAAGGTGAAGGGAACAAGGTCTAGGGAACAGTCTGTACTCACACCTCTCTGGCCCTGGCCTGTCTTCCTGCAGGTGCACCTTCGCTCTGCCAGGCGTCTCTGTGAGCTCTGCTGTGCCAACCGGGGCACCTTCATCAAGGTTGGCCAGCACCTGGGGGCACTGGACTACCTGTTGCCAGAGGAGTACACCAGCACGCTGAAGGTCCTGCACAGCCAGGCCCCACAGAGCAGCATGCAAGAGATCCGCCAGGTCATCCGAGAGGATCTGGGCAAGGAGGTACCCACCTTTGCAGCGGGGATGGGCCTGGGTTGGGATGCTTCAGAAAAGGCCCCAGCTGAATTCTTGCAGTCTCGGCCAGGGTGCTGGGGATCCACCAGTGACACAAAACCAAATGTCACAGCCACTCTCAGTGCTGAAATCAAAGAGGTTAGAAGGAATCTCAGTGGCCCTCAGTGAAACATACCAGTTCAACCATATGAAATAGTTCCTATGAGACTGTTACTGACCCGAAACCTATATATGATTCATATGGTTCAACCTAATAATATCTGTCACTTACTGAAGGTTTAATGCCTTATTGAAGCTTTATCCTCAGCAGGGCTTTCAAGCCCATCCCATCTGGTTTCCACCTACCTGTCTATTAGTTGGTGGGGCAGAGTGACACTGTGGTTTAGACTCTAGAGCCAAGAACTTGGACTTTGCACACATGATTGATCTTGGCACCTCACTTTCCTTATCTGTAGCCCACCACATAAGGTTGCTGTGTGGATTAGATGGGATAATGAATAGAAGGTGCTTAGTGTAGTACCTGATGTAGAGCAAGTGCTCAACAAATATTAGCTATTATTTGTATAGTAATGGTGTTCTATACTATTATGGTTATTTCCCCATGCTCTGGTCCCATTGTGCTACCTGTCTCAAGCTCACTGTGTTCTCTTAGTCCCCAGTGCTTGTGCCATGGTCTACCATCTGCCTGGTGTCTTTGCTTCTTTCTCTACTTGTCAAGTGACTTCAGGCCATCTGCCTATCTGTCTACCCAGCTAGCAAATCCCAGGCAGGGTGCTAGGTGCTGGGTTTCCCGTCCAAACCCAAGCTCTTCTAGGAAGTCTTCTGTGACCCTTCCTTGACCAATCTTATCCCTCCTTTGGGCTCTGCAGAACTTTGCTCCCTGCACTTGTGCAACTTGTGGATTGATTAGTTGTGTCTAAGGGTTTCCCTGCAAGTCACAGTCTTTGAGGATGAAGACCAAGACAGTCCTTTTACTCTATTTACGGCTCCAAAACAATACCTAGCAGGTGCCCTGGGGCTGCTTAAAGAGCCAATGGATGAACTAGAAATAGTGTCCTTAGGCTACTTGGCACAGGGCCGGGAGAGTGGGGCAGAGGTTTGATAAAGACCAGTGGTTCCCTTTTTACAGGGAGCTGGCCCCGACCATTGGTCCCTTAATGTGGAGCTGGCCCCAGCTACGCAGCATCCATCCAAAGGTGTCCCGCTTCTCAGTGGTATCCTGGCCTGGAGCGGGGCTTGGATCACACAGGGGGTGAGCATAGAAACGTCTCTGACTCCTCTGCCACTGAGGAACATTTCCTCCAAAGGGAGGGACAGTGAGTGAAAGGTAAACCCGATCTGTGGCTGGCTTCAGGGAGCAGGCTGCAAGCTGGGAGGAGCAGGGTCAGGAAAGAAGGACCCTAGGCAGAGGGGACTGAATTGGCACAGTGCCAGCCCACGTATGGCTTTGCCTCTTAACAAGACTCTTGGCCCCCAGCTTCTAACAGCACGAGATTCACCCCAAAATTAAAACTAAATAAATCACGGTAATAACAGTGTGAAGTGCATCATTGCTGGCGTGCGGCAGCTCTCTGGGGGTGGAAAAAAGGAGCAGAAGGCAGCAGGTTAACCCTTGGAGGCTGACTTGTCTGGCGAGCTGGGGAGGGAGGTGGGACAAGGGCATGTCAGTGGCTGTCCCCAAGCCAGGGTGGAGTGAGGGCAGTTTGGAGTGTCAGCAGTCATGGTGGCCCACCCAGCTGGCTAAAGAATGTTTGGGGTTGGAGGACGTCGTCTGCTCTTCAGGGCCCCTTCTCCGATCCCCTCCACCCCCTGCCGATTAGCCCTGAGCACAGTGGCCATGTGGCTCCTGCCCCACAATGCTTCTTTAGCTCCCTGAGAAAATGGGCCACTGTCCATGTCATGGTTCTGAGGGGCATCCCTCATAGCTGGGGAGCTTCTTCAGAGCCCTCTGGGTACTTACCAGGGCCCCACAGGCACACACTCCGTCTTCCCTGCCATCGTCCTCCTCCTCCCCCTGGGAAGATGGCATTTGTTCCCTGGTGACACACTTTCCCAGTGTGTGGGTGGAGGGAGGGGAGCGGGGCCATGTGGGAAGAAGGGTGGGTGCGTGTGGGGGTGTGAGGGCGGGGGAATGTCACTCACTTGGCATTTCCAGCCTCCTCCAGCCCCTCCCATGACACTTCTCGGGGAGCAGTCTCGCCCCCAGGATGCTTGAGTGGGCCCCACTCATCCTCAGCTCCATGGCAGCCCAAGACCTGTAGAAAGCTCTGTTTCATCCCTGGCTTAAAAGAGGCTGTCAGTCTTGCCTCACCACCTTCCTAGGTCCCGGTCCTCAGATAGGCTTGAGGTTACCTTGGACTCAGAGATTCCGTAAGTGCTCCTAAAGCTCAGACTGTAGAGAGTGGAGGTGCGGTGAGAGAGACACTTGGATGGTCAGCAGCAGTGTTAGAGGTCACTATGTCCTCAGACCCGTCCCTGTCGCAGGCAGGTGGGGCCCGGCCCTGTGGGGTGTTGCCAGCATGGGTGTGGGGGTAAGATTGAGGGTGCAGTACTTCTGGACCCCACGGTTCATATTCATTTCTGGATCAGTCAGAATTTCTGCACATCAGCTGGCACCATCAGTGCAGAGGTGAGGGCACTTGAAGGGGCACCATCCTTGCATAGCATTGGCTCAGGCAGGGAGTGTGCTGGGGGCCACATTGCTAAGGGAGGGCCCATAACAAGCAGCAGGATAAGACCTCACGTCCTCTAATTCCCAGGCTGGTGATTTGTCCTCTACATAACAGCTTCTATTTGGCAGGAAAAAAAAAGCAGTTGTGTGTGTCTATGTGTGTATCTTGGAAGTTTCTCAGCTAGTATTACCAGAAGGAAACTTACTTTTTTCCTTTATTTGGATGTTAGGCTTATATCCTGAAAGACAGGTTCCAGGAGGCAAACAGGAGCCCAGCCTCTGGGAAGTGGGGTCGTTTCTGTCTCCTCAAAGGTGACCTGGCTCTGGACTGGGTCGGGGGTGTTCCCAGCCTTGGTCCCCTTGACTGCCCTTGGGGCTGTGGGTCCAGATGCAGTGCTGACCTTGGCCAGCAGATGGCGCCTGAGCTTGCAAGTCAGGGATGGTTGTGAAGACCTGGCGCTTCCCTTTTGAGGGATCCCTGACCAGGTGGACGAGACTGGGGCTCTTTCTACTCTTGGGCATGGTTCACGCTGTTGAAGGAACCCAGACTGACATCTCTACACCCTGATGGGTATGCATAGGCCTCAGCCACGAGGCTGTTGACCACCCTGGGTGCCTGAGCCCTTGGCTCCATGTTGGAGGACGTGGCATTGGGGTTAGGAGTTCTCTGATGCTCCACAGTCTCTAATGGCTAGTGATTCTGTGCCTCAGCACCGTTTCTTTCATTCCTTCTCTCTCCTGCTGGTCTACGCAGTTGGTATTTAGTGAAAAAGGACAGTGATGGACACTTGGGTGTAGCCAGGGGTGGGTAAGACCTCGTTCCAGTCCTCACAGTCCAGGGTCCTGGGAGGTTCACTCATCATGGTAATACATGGCCACATAGTGCTCAAGGAGCTTGCTGAGGAGAGAGAGGTTGCCTTGGGCAGATGGAGGCTTTCTGAAGCAGGTGGCCTCTGACCCAGCCCCTTAGAGATGGATGGAATTGGAGGACGTGGATGTTGGAGGAAGTGATTACTGATTAATAAGCTGGGCTCAGCAGAGGTGCAGGGACAGGAAAGCATAAAGCATGGAGGTGAACAGTGAAGTCTTGTTGATTACAATGTGGCATTCAGCCGGTGAATACTGGAGCAGAGATTGTAGGTTTGGGGCTGAGGCTACATTATGAAGGGCCTAGAATGTTCTTTTCAGAATGTGAGCCTGAGGGAGAGAAGGACTTGGGAAGGGACTGATCAAAAGAAGGATGAAGAAACTGAGATATATGGAGTGGTGTGGGGCCTGTGGTTGGGTGATTGAAAGAATTTGCCTAATAGCTTGAATTTTTAGTAATGTGGGAGATGAGGTCATCTTTGAAAAGGGGAGGAAGATATAGATGGGGAGGTCTGAGGTGGGTGGGAAGCTTGGGGATAGAGTTATTGTGGGAATTAAGGGATGATCTGTAGAATTGTGAACCGCACTGTGCTGTTATCTTTGGTCATGTACACACACACACATCTATCCCTGCCCCCATGACATACAGACAAATCAGATCTTGTTACAGCCTATTTCAAGAAATGGTCCAAGCCGTTCATGGTGTCTCATGCCTATAATCCCACTGGGAGGCTGAGGCAGGTGGATCACTTGAGGTCAGGCGTTCGAGACCAGCCTGACCAACATGGTGAAACCCTGTCTCTACTAAAAATAGAAAAATTAGCTGGGTGTGGTGGCGGGCGCCTGTCATCCAAGCTACTTGGAAGGCTGAGACAGGAGAATCACTTGAACCCGGGAGGCGGAGGTTGCAGTGAGCTGAGATCAGCCTACTGGACTCCAGCCTGGGCAAGAGAGTGAGACTCTGTCTCAAAAAAAAAAAAAAAAAAAATCCAGTTATGTCCTAGAATATAGTTGTATCAGAAAAAGTTCTTTCCACCTCTGAAATCCCATGAGAAACTGAAGGAAATGAGGCCAGCTGCTGGCATGGAGCACAGAAATACCTCTGTTAGGGGCAATGCTTATATTGGTGTCTGGGTGGTGTGGTTTGGCTTTTGTACTTTGAAATTAGTTTTTATCAGTTTTTCACCCCCTGATCTTTCCTCCCAGGGGACCTTATTTTACAGCTCCCCATAGTATCTAGGGACAAGTGTATGTTGCTGGTGCTCTGTGTTCTTGATGTACCATCTGACTGGAGTTTCAATGAGAATGAAGGAGAGAGAAGGTGCAGGGGTACCGTTGTGCAACAGGTAGAATAATTCATATCCAGTTGTTTTGTAAGAGCCTGTGGGTGCAGTGGGAGGGCGGTTTGTCTTGTTCGCTCAAGGGTTAAGCAAATGTTCAGAAAAGAGAT